TTTACACAGTTAAATGCATATTTTTACACGTTTAATTTTACAATAATATGTGTAAGCGTGTAAAAAATATGCATTTAACTGTGTAAAACACAGATAAAATGTGTAAACATTTAGACTTACACATTTGAATTGTCAATTTAAATGATGCTGATGGTTTAAAAACCGTAAATGTGTATATTTGCACACTGCTTACCACGTCGAATCCTAACAGTTCCTTTTCCACATAGTTGTAATTATTACATTGTATATGTTAATTTTGCATTCTTGCGTGTAGGCACTTATAGCAACAGCATTGCTGACGTTTTGTGTATTCTACAAGCTATTTATATGTAATTCAACGATTGCATGGCTAAATAATAAATTAATTACAATTAATTTTTTAGAACAGGCAAGGATATGTTAATTTATAATTTCGGGTCGCCAATCGATGGACCTACTTGGAAAGAATTCTTTTCTGGACTTCTCGACATAAATAAAATATATCCCTTGCATAATATCATATATTTTCCATTTTTATTTTTCTTCCGATCTAAAATACTATATAGAATTTACGTTTGGCTCGGTCATTTCCTTCCGGCTTTACTTATGGATGCTGCAAACATCTGTATGGGTCGTAGCCCAAGGTATCACATAAATATAAATATTATTTCTTTTAGATGCATATTTCTAATGGAAAATTATATGTGTATTTATAATTTTATGTATATTTCAGAATGTGGAAATTAATTATAAAAAGAGATAAAGATTTTGAAATGTATGAATCTCTAATTATCAAAGATTGGAATTATTCTACTGACAATGTTCAAGCGATGTGGGATCATCTCAGTGAGAAAGATCAACAATTATTTAATTTCAACATGATGGGATTTGATTGGACAAAATATTTCATGGATTATCATAATGGCATACGCCATTATCTACTCAATGAAGATGACAGCACGTTGGAAATCAGTCGTATCAAATATAAAAGGTAACAGACTTTTCCTTACTTTTGGTTAATTCTTTTTTTTTAAGTTTTGTTTCTACTTTTAATCTTCAATTTCAGTTAACTTAAAATCTTCAATTTTAGATTTTACTGGATACATCAAATCATCAAAGCTATACTTATCTTTATTGTCCTTTGGACTATGTGGTTCATGTTTAGGAGAATGTTTGCATAAATTTTACATTTAAATATAATGCCTTACTATCGATATATATTCTCAATAACTTATTTTTATGAAATATTTAACAATATATGTATTTACTATCTGTATACATAATATTATTATATACTGCACTTTATCAAAAATCTATATATGTATCCATCTATGTATAATAAATGTTTCTTTACGAGGCGATAACCACTTTCAAATACACATTATTGATTTATTATAAATTAACTTTTCTTTAGGGTTTGGAGTTTTTGTTTCTAAACACATTTTGTTTCTAAATTGCGTTATCACGGATCAGACGTACTCGACAAGAGTCCTGGATTTTCTTATATACAGTTATTTCTTACGTTTTTAGTTTCCCCCTTCCTCCCTCCTCTGATAGGCTCCATAATCAAACAAAAGAGAAAAAAAATCGAGACTAATCACCCGCCGATAGATAACTTTCAATATCTGGTTATCGCTCGATTCTTATTATAAAAGATTATCCCATCGATCGTTTTCGGAAATTTATGGAATCCACTGGATGTAATACAGTAGCATTGCTCATCATATTGGAATTTTCTATATTATTTTGATGTATGTGTGTGATCCAACAAATTTTCGAATTTATATTTACTTAAATTTATAGATATTTAAGCAAACCATTAATTCTTTCCGTGTAATACATTTAAATATGTATTTCAGGAGTGAATAATATTTGAAATAATTCCATTTTAAATATATATTTAAAATGGAAATGGCATTTTAAATTTTCTATTTTAAATGCTTTCTTAAAACCATTTTCATTTTACATTTGAAATGGAAATATCTATACATGTCTCTTATACACATC